GAGCAGTGCAGCTATCACACTAGCAAACATATACCCCGCAAACGCGAAAGATACTATAGCGCTACCCAGGACTAGGTAGTATCTGTGTTCATCTTAGTATGACGGGGTGACAAGGAAAGTAGTAGTAGTAGCCGATACTACACGTGGACTCCGGCACCAAGAGCACCCAGGGAAAGTAAATATTTCACTCCACTTCGGAGCTCGAACCATCGATGTATCCGTGGACAAAACCAGCTAACACACACTTCTATCGCCAACCTAAGAACAGGCGGAAGTTATCGAAATACCTTGTGATAGGAAGAAGGGAGTTATAGTGAAAAGGAGCCATAGATTGTGATTCGAGGAACTGACGGGAGGGGGAAGGGAGGAGGAAAGAACAAATGGAAAACTGCATTGCAGATTCGCAATCCGATCTCGGTGTAGTTTGCCGTTTACCTTCATTCTTTCGATATGGATCCGATTCATGCCATTCAAGGGTGAGCGAGTCTACTACGACATCATCGAGCTAGAAAGTCTCGAGTCGAAGGTCGAGCTCTTGATACTAGGTTATACAACCATTTCGATATGGAATGGTTGGTAACCATATATGGCAGCGACTACCATATTACTGAATATGAATCATTCCACTTCATACACTTGTAATCACTAATCGGACTAAAGGATGAACTGTGCGCTGACACCAAAGCACATCGGTGCACGCAGAGTACGGATAGCGTGCTGAATCGAAATTTCAGCAAATATTAGAGGTTGGAAAAGAAAACGGCAAAGTGTGTTATTTAGTAGTATGAAGAGCTGATATCGGCGATTGCTCTTATGTCAAGGTCGCAAACTACCGCCCGTGTTACATCAAGAAACCTCGGAAAATGGCCGATCCACCGAATGCAGAGACCTCATTGGCATATGCTGAACGAAGACCAGCCTCCACAAACGATTTGGCTATAGCAAGGGCCACACTGAGGAAGAAGAATGGCAACAAGAATGGCATGATGATGGGGAAGAAGGACACTACACTGTCTTGAGCCAGTAAGAGGAATCCTTATATATACTAACCGGGGCAGGGGTCAGAGGGGCGTGTGAAGAAATTGACATTGAGGACACCCTTCTCGACTTCGAGTCTGTTAAAAGGGAGCTTGTCGATGTGAACCCACGTTGGCGATGATAAGCATTAGGTTTCTTGCTGATGTCTTGGTCATGATGCACTGACCGATACAAAGGCCCAACGAGACTTTGCCGAGATCGAGACGGACCATGGCCATCGCAATGGTGGTAAGGAGGACCACTTACGGAGACAGAACGGTCTTTGTTGTTGCAGTCCTAGGAAATGATAAGGCCAACCACGATTATTAAGGTATGAATAATTACACTTGTTCCATGGTCATGATGATAATATTCCCTCTCTCCTCGGAGTATACTTAAGGCAGCAGCCCCTGACACTGTGGCTCTTCTACTACTGCTACTACCAGGCCAAGGTAGACTTTTACCTACATATAATACTGCTACACACAGCTCTGACCACCGACATCAGGCTTACCTTCCCGTCCTTCATTCCTTGAAGGGATGTCATGGTCATCAACATCATCACTAAAAGTATCTATATCGGATGATCGGCTTGAATTCTCCATACAATCTATACAGATTGGAGGGCCATTCCTAACCAACTGAAATGATATCTATCCGGCACCACGATGAATATAAACAAAACAGCGAGATTGATGAACATGAGGAAACCTTATGATGGACGGTGAAGAACCCATAAAGTGTATTTACATAGAATTATGATACGACGATATAAGTTATATCGTATAGCCAGGAACAAACGGCACAACACAAGCTCGACCACCCACATGAGAATAATACCCAACTTTCTTTAGTAGACTGATGACCACGTTTTTGGTGACACCGAGTTCGTGGTTCCACTGCCGGCGTTTTACACCCATTCAGCCCGACCATTATCAAATGATATGTTCTTATTGGGGAGCGTGAAAGTCCAGTTTGTGCCGCCTTGAGCCAGATGGCTATGAATCATTCACGGATTATATGTATAATGTAACTAAGTATATAAAACATCGGGAAGTTCGAAGATCTGTCTCTTCTGCCTCTTCCAACGGTTTCACAGCCAGTTGTTTTGAGGCCGTACCTCATGGGCTTCTCACAAGGCATTGCAGGACATTATATTTTTCGCTACCACTTGCAGTACCGATGGTAGTAGCGATCCGGAAGAGACACTACACGTAGCAGGATGATGGCTTCATAGCAAT